TGACTACAGGCTTAGATTATAAAAACTAATAATTGAGTACTGGATATTGCCTGATATCTCATACGGCTTTTATATTAATTGTAAGAATCAGGGACATTTAAGTGGAACCACTCACTCACTCACTCACTCACTACGGTAGCATATTGCGAGATTTTCATTCTTTTATAAGCGTTTATGTTGTAACAAGCTACCTATAAATTGAACCAACCGTCAAAGAAAGTCAGTTTATTCCGTAGTGACCAAACCTTTTACGGAGAACATTGCCATTTTATTAGAGGGTGATGGAGATTATGTTGGTGTAACGTTCTTTATTCATCCCTGAGCCCTTAAGCCTCTATTCTGGCCCTCGGCCCAAGGCCAATGTGTGCGAAACAGCTAGTTGCTTACAGCCACTGAATATCTGGCGTTGTCCTGGCGGTTAATTAACTTAGCACTTTAAGTTGTAATACCGTTGGCATCCTAGTGCCATTAAACCATGTGTCGCACACAGAATATGAATTTCCGAGCTGTATGTAGACACGCGCCTGTCTACAAGAATCCAAGTCGACGATGTTACCTAGAAAACATTACATTAAACACTTGTCTTTAAATTAATTTAAAAGACTCACTTCTTGCTTGTCCTGCATATAAATGAAATTAAAAACACTGACACAAAAGACAGCATTACATGTACCACAATAGTAGCACACGAAATTAAGATTTGTTTTGAACGGGTTTAGATTGCGCGAATTTGTTTCGACGCATTTTATCTACATCATCTTTTCCAAGCACTTGGCCCATCATTGTGATAAAACAAACACTACAGACATGGCGACACAACATAAACTGCAAACATATATTAAAGTAACTCCTGTCATTTGTTTTTGATATGATAATACAATTTTATACCTGTAATAAATATTTTTGTGGTCAGGGACAGAAACGGGGAATACATCTCCAGAAGCATCACAAAGGAAACTAAAATCCGTCATGATAGGGTCACATTTGCAAGGTCTTTGTATACTCATGCCAATAATGGTTGTCACCCCCATCACTTTTTTAATTGGAGAGGGTTTGGGGTGTGGGGGGGGTTAGGGGTGGGAGGGGTGACAACCATTATTGGCATGAGTATATTTACACAGCGAGACTCATGGATCAAGGACAGAGCGAAATTATTATCTGTGTGAGTGGGATGTCGGATGCATCCAGACTAAAGGAGATATCCGTTGCCTCGGCTCCACACATGTAACGGGAACACAGATCTCTAGACAATTGATATGTACAAATAGCCTCATACACTCAACAGCATTCAAGTGCGTACTTTCCTGCAGATACAGTTATCGCGTCATTTCGTTATTTGAATGTACCCATGATGGACACCAACTGACTGTACTTCGTCAGTGGTTGTTTATGAAACATCGGTTAAGGCATAATGATATGAACGTTGACGTGTTGGGAAATGTTATTTCAGTTACTTCTTTTCGGTATTAAGGCAACTGAGGCAAACAATTTTGTAATCTTGTAACTTTTGTTATCACGAAAACCACATTGTATATCTGTAAACGGAAATCTGGCGACGGAAATAACTCTGTGTGTGTCTACCCCGCACTTCTTGTTGTTTTTTGGGGGGTGTGCGACAGGTTATGTGTCCTGGAGTCCACAATGGTTCCATTTTTGTTAAATAGCTTAATTCCAATCTTTTTTCTAAAACTTTGTTCTTGCGAAAACACTGGCATAGGTTTACTCTTGCTTGTGAAGATATGTTGAAAGTTGATTGAAGACTGAGACTGGTTAACTGACAAGATGAGTGGGTGTGTGAGTGCGGTTTTACGCAGATTTTAAGCATTCCAGCACTTCCACGAGGCTTCACACATTGTACCCATATGTGGGGAATCTAGTTTGTGTAGACATTGCAGGTAACAACATCTGAAGAGAATCGCTTTTGACGGTGTTATTAATGGCGGCACATGTTTCCTCAGGTTCAGATCTTTTGACACGTTTCTCCGCATCCGATAAACTAATGTTTCGTCTGAATTTTGTTCTTATAAATAGGACACTGATTAGAGAAAGAAACGTGATCTTCAGCGCAGTTGGTGCATTTTGGAAAAATACTGTATCAAGCCTCTGTTGTTTATGTCTGCCACCACAGTAAGCCCACGCAACAGACAATGTGCCAGTACTTTTATAAAGAAATTGACTTAATTGATAAAGTGTTATTATGTGTTCTAATTAGTAAGTGAATTTTAATGTGTTACCCTCAAAACTAATTGTCCATGAGAGGGTATGTCTGTATTGTGTTCACAGTATTTTTTCATCCTCTGTGATTTTAATAGATAAATATATATTCTTTTAATGTATGGCTAATGTGCACAGAAATTGCAGACACTTAAAGGAATTATGTCAACCCAGCTATTAGTTCTCGTTCAGTAACTGCTTTTTTTCTAAGGAAAATTGAATTAATTGCCAAATTTTGATGTACATGTAAATATATTATAAACCAGTTAAATAAGAATTTTATCTGAAATTGTTCGTGGCAATACCCTTGGCGAGGGTTGAAGTACCGTAAAATAACTGCTCTCCTCAGAGGGAATCTATCATTAACGTATGACCTGTTAATCGCGATATGGCTGAAATATTGCTGATGTGACGAAAAGAGTAAACTCACTCACTCCAAAGGTTTGTTACCCGAAATGTTAATGTATCTTATAATAGACTGTTACTGTTGGGATCACTGTCCTCACATACTTGTCAGCGGCCTTATAAATTTGGCTAACTGATCAGTGTCCATTGTTGTATATGTTTCGCTCATAAAACCATTGATGGTATGTGTACTACCAAACAAGCATCGATCTGCGTAAACGTGATTAGCAGTTACCATGGTCATAGTAAAGACTTGAGTAGTGAAATTCGTAGTGAACGGTAAATGTATATTTAGTTCTTGTTTAATATGTTTCCTAGCATAACGATGGGGGCATGGTAGGCGCCAGGCTAGTGATCCAGGGAGCTTAAGGTGTCGGGATCGAGCCCACCTGTGACCGGGTGTAAAAACCGTGGAGTCAACTTTGTGCGCAGACTTTTTCAGTGTTGTCACAACCCCTAGTGTACAGTACACAATCCTGTGCACTTAAACGAACCCACGAATCCGTTGGTATATGACCAGATGAATACGTGCAAACACCTAGTTGCAGGTCCAGCAACGTGCAGTAAACTTGGACAAAGTACTGTGACTTTGTGTCCCAGTCCACCCAGCTGTGAATTGGTACCTGGTAAGGATGAAAAAGCCACAATAACTCGGTGCTCCTTGTGGCTGCAAGAGTTGTAACTATGCTCCCCGGGTAGTTGAGATTGATATCCAATGTTCGAGGGAAACAATACCAGCGCCTTGAGCAAGTTCTGGTTGTGTGGATATGCGGGCTATATAAATATCCTATAATATTGGTAACGGCAGTGCATGTAAACTAATGATTCTGAGAAGCAAATCACGTGCGTTGGCAGTCCTGAAACTCCTAGTGAATGGTAAATGTATATTTAGTTCTTGTTTAATATGTTTCGTAGCAATTTTTACGCCGCTTTTAGCAATATTCCAGCAACATCACGGCGGGGGACACCAAAAATGGGCTTTACACATTGTGCCCATGTGGGGATTCAAACGCGGGTCTTCGGCGTGACGAGCCAACGCTTTAACCATTAGGCTACCCCATTGCCGCTCGTAGCATAAGATGGCACAATAATAGGCATGACTATTATAGGCATGACTGAACTATGACTGCAATGGATCAATTACGAGCTGAAGTCATTGCAACAAACGTCTCCAGTATATCTGAAACCTCTTATTGCTTTGCACGTAGCCAAAATATGTCTCCGTTCAGCTCATCTTATGCAGCTAGATGTTCCACAAACAACAAAAACATTTGTGGATAGAACTTTTGAGAAAGCAGGACCAGTTCTATGGAACTGTCCCCATCTGGCATCAGGAATTGAACCTCATTCAGTTCCTTCCAGCAAAATCTCAAAACGCATCTCTTTGCAAAAGCCTACCAGTGATCAGAGCTCGTGAGCAATCTTTCTTGGAAAGAGCGCTATACGAAATACTAGTTTCATTTATTTATTATATGTTGATCAAGCTGCTGACCGATAGATTGGTTACGACCATTAAAAGGTAGTGTTAATATAATGGTACAAAGGTTTAAGTAAGGTACACCTGAAACTTTCATCTCTGAGCAAATATAAATTTCTGTCATGTCCTCGAACAGTCAACCCCAATTTCTTGAGATTTATTTGCTGGTGTTAAGATGTCGGCGTGCAGAGATTTACATGGGAACGCCGACAAATGAGGTCAATTAAAAGTGCACCTGTCCACAAGCGATTATTGTTTTTGACGTCTATGCCCTTGTACCGGTTTTGATACTGCACAAAGGTGTCGCGGTATCAACTTCAATTGTATAATCTAGAGTCTCAATAACTACAAGACGTGACCGAAAAGATGGCGCAATAATACTCATGACTACCCTATAACGCTGTTTGGTCGTTTGACTGCTCACGACCATAACAGGATAGAGTTAAAATGTAGAATTAATTACTAATTAAACTACAACAAAGATACCAGTAGATTTCGTGAACAGTACCGTTTATTTCAGTGGAACAACCGTCATGGCAAGCTCAACACATCATTAGGGTACGGGTTGAGTCATTTGAGTATCCTGCAGATTTTCAAGGTCCGAAAAACAGCTAACAAGTAACAGCTAACAAGGCATAAGCTATCAAAACCTGAAGCAAGGATGTAAATTCAGACACATTTCAAGATTGGTATGACCACACATTGTTCGTCAGTGGTTACATGAATTATATATAATCCACGTCATACATGGCAGTCAAACAATTTTCAATTTTCAGAAATTACCTTTTTATAAAAAAAATCATGTGGATGCTCAAATCAGTCAAACCGTTTTTATATGAAGAATGAAGAACACGGACTTAGGAAAACATTAGTAGTCACAGCAGAGAGAACACGAATTTCTTCTGTCAGTAATACATATTGGAAACAGGTGACGCATATTTCAAATTTAAATAACATAAGCCTTCAAACACTCATAATGTCACAGTTAGCCACAGCAGATGATATTATATTATAATATTATATAAATAAGAATTTGGAACAAACATTAGGGTCAAAGACCCTAATTGAAGGGCGTTACATAAACAGGTGTACAAGAACTGGAACGACCAGTGACGTCATCGTGTAGGTAACATGATCCGCAAAACTCCCACCTGCAACGAAAGAGGTCATTTCTTAACTATTGATATTGCTAACAAAATCAAATGTTAAATATCCATAACGTCAATTACAAACGAAGTCCTTTAGGTTGTGTGGTGTAAACTGCACTGAAAGATGTTGTTTGCACCAACGTGACAAGTTTCACGTTGATACTGATACGATGTTCGAGCATTTCCACAGAAACATTGCTTTAGCGGCATGGTAGCTGGACACATATAACACATGGATGTAGTGAGATTGCAGTGGTGATGTAAACACTCTTAGAAATACATAATATGAGGAACGGGTTTACGTACACTTGGCAGCAGTTATCTTGGTCTCAGTGTCAGTCACAAGAGCTGCCTGGGTGGTGCTGTTACACCCTTTCTGGGTCGTGGTGGTGATGGCAGAGAGGCAGGTCTTCAGAGTGGTCAGAACACTGTAAGAAAATAAAAGATATGAATGTTATTGTCATTAAACCACTTCAGACATTTGGATATGAAAGTTTCTGAGTGAATGAAGACAACCTAAAGGTCACATCGGGTGAGTTATATGGCGGCGGACAGCGTGATCAAAGTAGAAACGTTAGGAGAATGGGTAACAGCTGCTCATTAACATGGAAGTGGACGCAAGTTGACATTTTGTAAAGTCAAACTCCAAGTTCCTGGCCAGGGTTAGGGTAAATTCCTAAAAATCAAAATAGTTTCCCTTGTTCATCAAAATGCAAGACTGATATACTATAATTCACGATAATTCACTCACGTGCAATACTTGGCGCTGGTGGATGCATCTCCCTTTGCGGCGTTGACCTCGCACTGACACGTGGCGCTTAGGGCTGAAGGCATGTCAATAATTAGTTAATATATCTGGTTCTAACCATGGTGCATATAAATAGGAAAATATGTCATATATAATGTGATTTATCAGGAGCAGTTGTTTTATTGGTGTTGAGAATTTGACCTTGGTCTGTTCCATTGGTAATTCCTGACCAGGTTTAGCTGACCTGACATAGTCTAACCTTTACGGAATCTTTCAGTGAATGTGCTTATATGTATGAGTTGCCACTCTTAGACATGCCCTAAATTGCTAACGGCTGAGGGGATGGTTTAATTCAAGCTAGGGTCCATGCAGGAAGCAAATGTACTGTAAGTCCCCATGGTCCCTGGTAAGGGGTCCCTACCTTCAGTCGTTGGCAATCTATAGCCTGTTTTTATATTGTATTGTCATGTGTAGTTAAACTATTTAAGATTTAATGACTAGTTTTATATTTATATCTGTGATAATCTAGTTGTTTTACTGCCTTCGTTGACATAATTTTATGATTTACCGTTAATTGTTAATATATTTATAACTTGATTTAGTCACGATATGGCTGAAATATTGCCGATGTGACTTAAAATCGTAACTCACTCACTCACTCACTCTTAGACATGCAAGGACCTGCTGATAATAAATTACAGCATGTACGAGAAACGTGTTGCTTTGGATTTATCTTTTAAACTGCGAACTGTGACCGCTGCCCAAAGCAGCGAAGGCACAAAGCACATTGTACATGTATTTTTTACGGTGTGTTCACATTGGCTTCACAATGAAAAGTAGATTTCATCAAGGAGAACTGTTTTACTTATCAAACAAACATATGTTTGTGCATTTTTCTGCGTACCTGAAATTGTATTGGTACAGAGTGGGCATGGAATTACGGTTTTCATTTTATCTGCATTGTCTTAATAAATTTAAATATTACCATCGACAGAAAGACTATATTCCGTAATGGAGTTGTCTAACCTGGACAATCGGGAACTGCCAGTTCTGCTCTTGCAGTTTCAGCGGTCGTTGCAATGGCGCTCTTGGCCGTAGTGCCGTCACAGCCGGATGATTGTGCAGTTCTCAGGCAACTCAGCTCGTTTTTGTAAGCACTGTAATAAATAAGTAACAACAATGAGATGAATATCATCAGCCTGTGCACAGATAAACACTTGTTTCACATTTCCGGATCTTCACGGGTTCAGATGGAGAAATTACGAGGTGTTATTTGATGCGTGCATACTGAAGCAGTTGATAGGTATCTCTCAGTACAATTTGAAGGTTTGATAAGGGATACATGGAAATATAAATGGAGAGTGTTTTTTCAATGTTGTTTTGTTGTTTGTTTTGTTTGTGTTTTTTTGGGGTTGTGTGTGTGTGTTTTTGTTTTGTTTTTTTGGGGGAGTTGCTCGTTCTTTTTTTAAGTTATGTTGGGTTACGGCTACAACGACCGAACGCTATGAATACACCTTGTCATTTAAAATTTGGTCAAAGGTAACATATTTCTCAGAAAAGTACATATTCTAATATTTTTGTTGGATTGAGTTTAATAGGGGATTCGATCCCAATCTCCCATAGTATCCCCAGGCACACAAAGCAATCAAACCCACTGCCAAGGGGGCTTCCACAAAAATGGAAGTCGAATAACTGGTAGTCCGGATCACGTACTTTGTGTTCCCCTCTGACAAATCTTTTTCAGTCACAAGGGATAAGTATTTCAATGTGAAAACAGTTAAGGATCTTTATTACAATTACAATTTTCATTTAATAATTGAATTTTTAAAGGGAATAGAATTATTACATAAATTTTGAATAATATGTTTTGCAGATAAAAAGATGGTATTTTAAACACGGTAGTATAAATTAGTTACTGCAAATGTTAGTGGCTGTATCCTCGAAAGTATCGTGAAATTATTGTCCCCTTGAGAAGTTAAAGCTTACCAGATTTTTAATCGTAGTATTTGTGTTCTATTAGATTTCGTAAAGTTTCCCTTTAATCGTCAGCAGTTAAAGGGATGGTGTAAATCCAGCTAGGGTCCATACAGGTAGCAAAGGCACTGTAAGTCCTCATGGTCCCTAGCATGGTGATCTACCTTCAGTTGCTGGCGATCTATAGCCCATTTTGTTACTGTATTGACCTACTTTGAAATCCAGTTTTAGAGAGAGATGCTAGGTTTTTTTCTTGAGTGAGTGAGTTTGTTTAGCTTTACGCCGCACTGAGCAATATTCCAGCTATATGGCGACGGTCTGTAAATGATCGAGTCTGGAGCAGACAATCCAGTGATCAACAGCATGAGTAACGATCTGCGCAATTGGGAACCGATGACACGTGTCAAGCAAGTCAGCGAGCCTGACCTCGCGATCCCGTTAGTCGCCTCTTTCGACAAACATGGGTTACTGAATATCAATATTCTGACCCGGACCTTCACGGGTTAGTTTTATTTCTTGATACAGTGATACATGTATTCTATTTGGTTTTACTATCCTTTGATGACAGGTTTGATTACATGTATTTATGGTGAATTCTAAACTTATTTTATTTACGGTATGGTTGAAATATTGCCGATGTGACTGTAAATCTTAACTCATTTACTCTGACAAATCTAAACTGGCTTGGCCAGAAAGCTATGTATACAAAATGCTATTTAGAAGGTTGTCAAGTGCAACATAGCTTACTCAGTAATGTACAGATTCTAGTACTTGTGTCGGGTTTAGCCCCAACTGTGCAGAGTCAAACAAAATAACATAAACACTAACAGAACTGGATCATTCATTCAACATGGACAAACTATTTAATAATCTCATAGTTACACAGGTACCTCACAGTAAAAACAGTTGGCGGAAATGGCTAATTGTATTAACCACTGAGTGATAATAAAGTTTGAATAAATTCATTTGCTTTTGTGCTTTTCTCTATTACCAGAAACTAAATAGAATATTGTACTCACATTGATCAACAACATTGATAAATAAGAAATAGCAATCGCATAATTAGAAAATGTGAATAACGTACGTGCATTGTTCTGCAGTAGTCCCTTTCGTTGCGGCGGCATAGGTTCTCTGACACAAGCATGTGTCATCAAAAGCTGACAAAATAAATACAATGCCTGTTAGGGGCCGACAATTTAATATGCTGTAGATGTAGTTGCGGCAGAGGTCCGGCGGTGAGTTTCTATCAAACAATACATTGTCCGGACTGCTTTGTTCTGTTGTTCAAAAGCAATAGTCTGGACAAAAACTATATTGTTGCAGTCTAAAAAACAACATTTGTTCAGTTTTATATACTTTTACAGCAGTTTTCAAACAAACTACAGTGCAGAAAAATTAATTTGCTCGTCAGAACGAGCTCTCATTTAGTGGATTTAATGTCACTACTTTCAATAACCCTCATACTTACCTGTCCTTTGACGACAGGTTAATAATGTACACATATTCTTTATCAGCGTCAAATTTGTTCTCCTCACGGTGTGGCTGAAACATTGCCGATGTAACGTTAAATATCAACTCACTCACTCACTCGCTCATACTTACTGCAGGATGTTGTAGATGTTACCGACGTAGCGACAGTCGTCTTCAGATCAGCTAAATGAGTGCCGCTGACGCAGGGATCAGTGGTCAGTGGGTAGAGGCATGCATACTGGGCCTTGTAGGCACTGTGAATAACAAGAGACACATATCATAAAATAACCCCATCGCCACCCCCTCTCCCTTGGTATTTAGTATATCTTTAACTGGAAATAATTAGAACTTTAGTTTAAATCTAACACATTCTCTTATCTTTATCTAGATGTGAGATGAAGTAAGAAGCCTGAGAGTTGTTATAAAGAACAATACTCAACAATAATATTTAAATAATTCAAGAGTCTGTTGGGCTCAATTAATTACTCACGTGCACTTCTTGGCATCGGTGGAGATGTCTGCTTTTGCGGCATCAAGCTCACATTGGCAGGCGGTGGTGACAGCTGACAACAGGTTTTTGAATGACTACATGATGTCACATTAACCCTTTCTTCACATACAGGAAAATTCATTGTTGCAGGATTAAACACACATATTTCAGTTTCAATGTCTTCCAATCATATCAAAGCCAAGTTGATTCAGAAGGAATTTCCTCGTCCGTAAGAGTTTAATGGTATTCATCATTCTGCATAAGAAACTCCGCATACTTACTGCAAGATGTTGTAGATGTTATCGACGTAGCAGCAGCCGACTTCAGAGACTCAATAGTGGCAGTGGCAACACAAGGAGCAGTGGTCAGTAGGTAGAGGCAGGAAAACTGAGCCTTATAGGCACTGTGGATGACAGGAATATAATGCTCACTTATCACAGTTACAGTCCACGTTAGGCCTAAGTAAAACGGAGGAGTCTCGTACATTTATCACTGTAGAGTTCGCCTGTAGCAGGAGCGAGCTTCTGGACGTCCCAACGATGGTGTATATAACTTTAACTCAAAATAATTAGAACGTGTAAATAATTTCTTATAAATAACATATTCTCCGACCTTTATCTAGATGTTAGATAGCGTAAGCAGCGTGAAAGTTAATTTTAGAAAAATTCAAGTACTAAATTAATAACTCACGTGCACTTCTTGTCATCACTTGAGATATCTGCTTTTGCAGCCTCAATCTCACACTG